TTTTTTTTAAGATTTTATTTATTTGACAGAGAGAGCACAAGCAGAGGGAGAGAGAGGGAGAAGCAGGCTCCCCACCGAGCAAGGAGCCCGATGCGGGACTCGATCCCAGGACCCTGGGATCATGACCTGGGCCGAAGGCAGCCGCTCAACCAACGGAGCCACCCAGGCGTCCCTCTCCCAAAACTTTTACTGTTGGGAATTCACCCCAGACCCCCAGCAGGAAAGGCTAGGATTGTACTTTGGAAACAGGGCTACTGTCAAGCCTTAGCAACTGAGACATCGTCTCCTCCGTCTTGGCGTCCTGAGAACAGAGTGCGGTTCTGTCCCGTGCGGGGGCGGCGGAGTGTCGGGGAAATCCCCCAGAACCCCAGAATCCAGCACAGCACCTGGCCTGTCACAGGAATGCAGGTAGAGTGTTAAATGCATGAAAAAAACTGGGGACTTGAGCTCATTGCCTCCTGACAAACTTTTTTCAAGGTACTGTCATTTTGATTTTACAGATGAAGGAAGCTTAAGCAAAAACGATCTGACAGTCTTTTATGTGCACACTAAGATGGTGAGGCCGTGGGCAGAGAAAGCCATGTCTAAGTTTCACCATGCTGTGTATGTAAATACAGCAATGTTTTACATGGCTCTGCAGCGGCTGTTGTCTTCAGGAGGGTCTGAGGTCTGCAGTTCGTCCAGCCCCAGAAAATGGGCATCGAGGAGCTCTCTAATATAGCCTCTTTTCTCTTCATACCAGAGTGCTGCACAAAAAGGAACCCCTTCCTCCACCCCAGCTGTGAAATTAGGCTAGATCTCAAAGTAAGCATCACCTCCTCTTGGAAGCCTTCCCTGACCACCCCACCACGGGTTAGTGCCCCCGGCCTGTCCCCAGGACAGCCCTCCGCAGCCTGATCCTGCCCGTTCACTTACATCCCCTGAGGGCAGGGGCTCAGTCTCTCTCCAGCCGCCCCCCAGCCCCAAGCACAGTCCCCGGTGCTCAGCAGGTGCTCAGTGTGTTTGAGGAATGAAGGCGGGCTCTGCCCTTCCCCGGATCTCCTCTGTCCACGAGTTGTCCTGTCACTGGGGATGCTGGTCGGATGGCCCTTCTGGAATGTGCTTGTCCCAGGCCCCTGGCCCCCACTGCTCACCCCCTCCAGTTCCGACAGGAGCATGCGTGGAGGCTGCCCCTCCGCCTGTTGCTGTCCCGAGTCACCGTGTGCCCCACGGTGTGCTGGAGTCAGTCATCTGTTCTGTCTGCTCAGCCACTCCAGACAGTACTGATGGCCACACTTGCCGAAGCTTACAAGACGCCAGCACTCGACGTCCACTCTGGGGCTCCTCGAAACCGCTCCTACAGATGAGGAAACGGATCCAGAGGACTCAGTACTTGCCCGGGGCCCCGCTGAGGCTCTGGAGGGTGAAGGAACACACCAACACGAGTCTTACAGGCTCTGGTGCTTTGCCACTTGTCTCCCATTGGCTCCCATGATGCTGCAAATAGCTCAGGGAGCTACAGGAGCCAGGTGGCTTTGGGGATTCCTGAGCCGAGAGAACAGGGAGCCAGGAGGAGGTGACCCCCGTGGAGAGCAGCTGCATGCACCCCCGCGTTACTCAGTAACCCAAGCCTCGGTCCCCATAGACCGCCGGGCCATACCAGGCCAGGGCAGGCAGCCCACAGCAGTCCCCTTGGCCACCCTCCAGGCGCCCAGCTGGTCACGGGTGGGAACTGGAGAAGGGAGGTCCGAGATGGGGCAGACCCCCGGCCGGCAGGATGGGAGCTGGTAACAGACTCAGGGGCCCCTCGGGGGAGGTGTGGGTGGAGGGAGGATTGAGAAACAAAGCCCCCCCTTCCACCAGAGCTTCCAGGCCCAGAGGAGGCAGGGGGAGGGCAGGGGCCCTGACATGTCACTTGGATGGAGCCTCTTCTTTCTGGGTGGTGGGCCAGGGGAGTCCTCACAGGTGGAGGCCTATCAGGGGGGACCCTCAGAAGGGGAGAACTGTCAGGATCTTGCCCTCTTGCTGGACCAGGGGTGGTAGTACCAAGCTGGTACCTCTAGTTATTAAAATATAATGATCTTTCCATACAGGCTGGCAAACAGATGTTACCCAGGTGTCTACTCTCCACAGGCTGGCCCAGCTATTCCGGCCCTTCTGGGGGTTCCCTCTAGACCTCCTGACATCCAGGAGATCCAGTGGAGGTCCCTCTAGACCTCCAGGACCCACTGGACCCACCTGAGTCATGCATGTTGATTAGAATCTCGGGTCATAGACCCAGTCCCTGGCCCAGGGTTGGTACTAAGCGAATAGTTGTTGGATGCATGAATGAACAACAGAGGAGGGGGAATCTGAGATCCAGAGGCATTCAGAAACTACGAGAGATGACAAGTGAGACAGAGAGGGGAGGCTCCCAGAAGATGCTGGGACGGCCCAGCCCACTCCTTCTTGCTCTCCCTGGTTCTTCAGCTTATGAGGGCTCTTCCCCTTGTAGGGCCTGTCCAGACCCTGCCTGGACAGCCCGGAGTGGCCCCCACTCCCAGACAGTGCCCAGAAAGCAAGCCGCATCCCTGGGGCAGAAGGCTGGGCCTGGGAGGATACCCCAGATAAATTGTCCAAGAATCATTATCTGACCAGACATCTCCCACCCACCCCCAACCCCTGCAGAAGGGGCTAGAAAACAGCCTTCCTGCTGACCAAGTAGTGACAGAGAGCCTCTGGGCCAAGGGCCAGGGGCCACTGAAGGCCAGAGAGCCTGCTTGGCCTGCTGGGAGCTGTACCACAGAGGCTGACCCCTGCCCTTCCAGGCCTGCTTGGCTGGGGACTGACTTAGGTCAGGAAGCTAGACAGCTAGAATCCAGCTGTCCCCCAGAGTCCACGCTAGGCTGCAGGCTAAAGCCCATGGCAGGAAGGGAAGAGGAGATGAACTGCACAAAGGACAGAAGGGGAAGCAAGGAGGAGGGTCAGGGACTGCACTGTCTCCCCTGTCCCTGCGCATTGCTGTCAGGAGCCCCACTTTGCATCTGCTCTGGGGGGTGGCTGGTCGCTGTGAGCCTAGGCAACATCCTCTGGGAATGGTAGCTATTCCTTCAGACAGGGGTCTGGTACTTCTTTGCAAACACCGAGAAGCCCCTCCCACACAACAGCCCCCTCAGACTAGGCTGGGCAGCAGGGTGGACGGAGGGCTTCCCCTCCCACCAGCCCCATTGAGACACCCCTCAGCTTTTCTTCTTTGAAGCCCCTTGTGGCCCGCAGGTGTCAGAACCAATAGTGCCAGGGTCTTCCGCCCGTGAGAGCCCTCCAGGGGCCCCGCGCCCACGGGGTAGAGGCCACGCGCCTCAGCAGCGCTTTCAAGGCCTTTCTAGACTCCCCCCGCCCCAGCTTCAGTCCCTGAACACACTGGACACTCCCATGGCAGGCTTCTGTCTTTGCAGGTCCCCTTCTTGAAATGTCCCCTCCTCCTTTGCTTGCCCAATTTCTAGGTTGTCCTTCTAGACTGCCTGCAGACATGACCTCCCAGGAAGCAGCTCATGTCTGTGCCCACCTTGATCCCCACTGCCATGGTGGGTTCTGCTGCCTCTCCTCCTGGGCCCCCATGGCCTCTGTACTTCCTAAGGTCACACATTCACCCCACTGCGAATTCAGTTCCCTCCTAGGTGTTGGTCTGCCAACTGCACAGTGGCTCCTGGAGGGAGGGGTCATGTGGTTCATCTCCAAAGCCTGGCTCTCAGTAGGCGTCAGTCAGTCTGTGTCCTTACCGTCTCTCTCTACCTGGACCCCGGCCGACGTAGACCTTGCTCGTGTTACAAGTGGCTCCTGACTCCGGGCCGAGAAGACCCTTCTCCATCCAGCTTCCTTTCTTTCCAGCTGCTGAGGCAGGCCAGGTCTCCTCATACCCATGCAGGCGTGCAGGGAGCCCAGCTCTCAGCCTGGCCAGCTGCTGGGCGTGGTGGGAGGCCTAGGAGGCTTGGGGCCCAGGGGAGAGACTCTGCTGCTGAGGCCGGGTTAATCATCAATGCCTGGACAGCGCCTCTTTACCTCCGTTCTCCATCTGGCTTTTTCAGTTGGGAAAAGATTGAGTAACCCCTCAACTGTCTCTGGTGTTAACCCTGGAGGGGCCAGGCCCCGGCCTTAAACGGCCTCTTATTCCTTGGGAAACACTCTCTAAACTAACACCACGTTTGAGGGGCAGGGTCCTCCCCCATCCCCCCACTCTCACCAGGTCCCTCAGCTGTGCCCCATCAGGGCAGGTCACAGGCCATCTCCAAGGACCTGTCCGAACCCGAACAGCGCGAGGGGCAGCTGGGCCAAGGGAGACAGGACCTGGGGGTCCTGACGCCTCCTCCCCGCCCAGCCCTTGCCCCACCTCAGGCCTTGGGCCCAGGCCCTCGCGGCCCTGGTTCCGCACCTGCCGGGGCTGAGTCTACGCGTGGGCCTCGTCCGGCTCGGGCGGTGGGGGCCTGGCTCTGGGGGCGGGGCTGAGCCTCGGCGTGGGGCTGGGTTTGGCCCTGGTGGGCGGGGCCTGGCTCCTGGGGAAGCTGCCCGCCCTGCCCGGGAGTGTCTGCGCTGTGCGCCCCGAGCCCGAGCCGGAGCCGCGGACTGGAAGGCCCTGTCCATGGCCGGGTCCCCCCGCCGCGCCGCGAGCCGGCGGCTGCAGCTGCCCCTGCTGTGCCTCCTCCTCCAGGGCGCCACCGCCATCCTCTTTGCGGTCTTCGTCCGCTACAACCACGAAACCGACGCCGCCCTCTGGCGCTGGGGCAACCACAGCAACGTGGACAATGAATTTTACTTTCGCTACCCAAGTGAGTGCGGGTGAGGGCGCGGGGAGCAAAGAGCGCGAGGTCCGCGGTGTCTCGGGCGTCTGTATCTACCCCAGGAGGGCACCCCTCTGGCTCCGGGAGGAAGGTGCCCCGGATTTATAATAACAGCCTTTCTCGGTGTCTGCGGTGTCCCAGGCATTGTGCTGAGGGCGGCACATGCATTATCTCATTTAGCCCATGAAGTAGACAAAGATGGGGAAACCCAGCCTCGAGGAGATTACGAGGCTGGGTAAGGTTCAGGCTGTCGGAGTTGAGGGAGCTGGGATTCAAACCCAGATCTGAGCTTTTAGTGCTCCCCGTCTCGCCTCCCACTTGGCCTAATTGGGCTTTGCAGGGCTGTTCCAGAGACTGCCTTTCGAGGGCCCCCACCCTGATCACAGGAAAGAGAATCCTCCCTGGCAGGGGAGGTAGGGAGTGGTGTGCAGAAAGTGGTCATGGCAGGGACTCGCTATGAAGGCAGCCAAGACTCGCGGCGCTCAGGCATTTCCTCCCCAGCCACTGGAAACGGGCCCTTCGGGAGTCGGAGTGGGAGCACAGCCGCAGAGCTTCAGCCCCCGGTCCTGAGAAGGAAGCACGGCAGGGTCATTAGCCCATTTCCCAGGGGAGGAAGCTGAGGCTCAGAGGGCTTGTGACTTGCTCATGATCGCCCACCGCGTGAATGGCAGAACAGGGACTAGGACTCGAGCATCCCAAGCAACATCCCCTGCTGGGGACAGAGTCTCTCCCAAGAGATTGGGGCCCCCCTGGCAGCTCAGGCCCTGGGCAGCTGGGACCAAAGATACCAGATCTCTAGACTTCATCACCACTGCTGGGCAGGACTTCTCTCAGCCTCAGTGTTCCCCATCAGGGCAATGGGGAGAAGGATGCCTCAGTTTGAGGGGTGTACATTCAAACAAGGCCCAGAGTGTGAGTCTCCTATAAAACTCCAGGTTGTCATTACCCTGCTTTCCATATGCTGAGCTGGTGGCAGGCTGTCCCCACCTGACCCTCTCCCAGTCCCAACCCCGACAATGAGGTTCCCGACGCTGAGGACATAGAGGGTGAGAGACACTGGGCCTGAGCAAGAAGTGCCAGACCGCCAGATCCCCAGGCCCCCAGACCCCCAGACCCCCAGACCCCCAGCCATCCTCCGCAGAGGGTCTGCAGCTCCTCCCTCCTGTGTTTCACGTCAGCCCTGTCTGCACAAGGTGAGCCACAGAGGCTGGGATGGCAGACTCCTGGGGGGTGCATTTGTCCAGACAAGTAGAGAGTTGGGAGGGAACAGCCCCCAGGCTGAGAGAAGTAAGCTCTTGTCCAAGTGTCTGACCTGGCTGCCTGCCAGGACCCCCCATTTGCTCCTCCCCTGGGCCTCACTCAAGGCCTCGGAGCCCTGCTTGTCTCAAGGTTCCCCCGGAAACGCCCCAGGCTGTCGCCCCTCTGCTGCAGCGGGGGGGCTCTCCTGGGACATGCAGCTATCCCTGGGCTGCAGTAAAGGGAATGGAGTGGGAATCCTATCTCTTTGCTGCCCTAGGTTTCTATCCTTGTGGACTTGGGACCCTGGTGTGGGGGAAGGTCGGGGCAGAGGGAAGCGTGAGGTCTCTGGAGCCTGGGGCTTTGATGAGCCGGGTCTTCCCCTGCCCCTGAGTCCAGGGGAAGGGGTCAGGGCCAGAGGATGGTATAACCACGGCCCTTTGGTTCGGGAGATGAAAGGGAGTTCTGCAGCTGGTGTGGGGCTGTGGGACTAGCCAGTGCCAAGGACACGGCTGCTCTGAGGCTCTGTCTGGCCTCTCACTGCAGGAAGGGCCCTCAGAGCCCATCTGGTCCACTCCCCTCAGATGTGGAGAGACGGCCAGAGAGGTCATGGGGCTAGCCAGCTAGCCAGGCTAGATCCAGGGCTCTTGGCTGCCCAGCTGCGCAAGCCCCTCCTGTCCCATGAGGCAAGTCATGGAAAATAAGAAAGAGGAGAAAAGACAGGTTGACGGGACACAGCAGCAACCACGAGAAAGAGTCTAAGGAAGCAGTATGGACAGGTCCTGCGTCACACACCTCTGAGACCTTACCTTCGGGGAGAGGGGTTTAGGATAGATGGAATCAGGATCTTCTTGAAAGACGTGGGGGAAGGGGGATGTGACCTCTAATAGGAGAATAGGGCAGAAGGGAGCAGAGTGTGAGAGGAGGCGGCCTCCCCAGCTCACCATTCCCTTTTCTCTGCTCCTCATGTTTATAGCCCCACTTTACAGATGAGGAAACCAAGGCTCAGGAGGTTAAGTGGCTTGTCCGTGGCCACACAATCCAGCTTTAACGGTCCCCTTGTTCCTTGTTTTTTTGTTCAGGAGCCATCCAGTGGGTCGGGGAGAGGCAGTAGGGAAGGAGGCAGGGTAATGGGTATCTCCAGGGGACTTTTACCTTCTCTCCAACCAGAAGTGCATGGGTTTGGAGGCCACAGCCGATGGACAGTCTGCGGAATGTTCCCCAGTGAAGGAGATTTCTTAGTGTTTAGACTCCAGTTGAAAGGTCAAGGGACTGAGTTTTGATTGAAAACAAGCCCAGGGTGGGAGATGTAAATATTATTGCCACTTAAGACAAGCTCCGGGGCAGTTTCTGCACGTCAGGGGCACAGAGCCCGGCAACCCAGCCACCTTTGCTGTCCTGCTGTCCTTGGACAAAAGAACTTCACTGTTTGCACAAGAAGAAAAGAAGCCAGACAGCGAGGCCTCAAAGAACTTAGGTTGCAGGCTGACTTATAGGTGATGCTTCTCCTTTTCTGTTGGGTTTTAAGATCTGAGAAGGAAGAGAGAGCTGGGTGATTCGGGAGTGCACAGGGCTGGAGAAGTGGCACGGTGTTGGGGACTTTTAGCAAGGCCAGTGGGGACTTTTAGCCAGACCCTTACCTCCCATGGCAGCTGAGTTGCAGACCTCCGCTTCCAGCACCAACCCAACCCTCTGCCAGGGGCTTGAAAACCCATTCCCTGTCAGCCCACACCCAGCACAAAAAAGCAAAAAAAAAGTTTGCATCTCTTGAAGTTACAGGTCACGTTCTACGGTTCAATAATACATTTTTGGCCTGTCAGTGCTTCTTCAGATGAAACAAAAACCATAATTTTTTTCCCTTTATAATCTGCCTCTTTCTACAAGAGGTTTGAGGTCATTTACAACAAAAACGTGACGAGTACGAGAAAAGAAAAGCAGGGAAGCAGAACATAAATAATGAAGAACAGTAATGAGTAGTGAGTGCCTCAGTTGTCCCAGCTGCGAGGCCAGTGTGGCTCCGAGCTTCCAGGCAGCCAAGAGAAAAGGGAAATACGATCAATCATGTGTTCTCATCAGAGGCTAGGAAGGCTCGCGTGAGTGGTTCCCTGGGTCCCTGAGGTCTGTGTTGCACGCTCCGTGAGGGCAGGGACAGGGGCTGTGGTGACAGCCGTGTCCCCAGGGCCTGGCACTCCAGGTCCTGGTAAAGCTCTGTTGCGGGAATGCAAGGAAAGCCGCTGGGTTTCCTGGGGCAAGTGACATTTGCCAGCACTAAGTTCCAAGAGAAATTTCTCACGTGGAACTACAAAAGGGGGGGTTAGGGTCAGAGTTGACCCTGTTTCTCAATAGCTTATTTACACTGTGACTTCTGACAGCACTCGTGAGACTCCTTCTCTAGCATTTCTCAGTTAAAGCCAAAGATACAGCACGGAATTACTCTAGGCAGAGAGCACAGGGCCAGGCGGGCTGAGGGTCTCACTAGGTCACGTCTCAAACCCTATTTACACGGAGGCTGGGGGAGGGGTGCAGAACACACAGACACTGAGGCGAACTCCCTGTACATATCTCATTTCCAGCATCACCGTAGATGATTTGTATTAGCCTCGTCTATCACGCATACATCATAGAGAGCAAACAGAAAGGCTCCAATCTCCCTGTCCAGGAACCTCACTGACACTTAAAAAAATTCAACTAATTCATCTATAAAATTAGCATATTCAGATTATAGAAAGAAACGCACGGAAAAGCGGAACCCTCCTTCCCAAGCCTGCATATCGCACAAATCCGGGGCTCGCCGATAGCACAGTGTGCAAACAGCCCTCACCCCCACCCCTCCATTCCGTTCCGTCCCCAAGGAAATCTCTGTTCACAATTAGAGCTATTTCCAAAAAAATAAATAAATAAAGCTATTTCACAAATTATTTTTAAAAAGTTTAAAATCCTCAAAATGGAGAGGCACAGATTCTGAAGTCTGATGGATATTAGACGTGGAGGAGGACTTTCCAGCAGAAAGGGAAAATTGGACCAAGCCCGAAGGGGGAGACGATTTGGAGCTTGGAGGGGCAGGGACCGTGGCAGGAGAGAGGTCGGGCAGGACTTCCCGCTGGGCAGGTGTAAGAGACCCAAGCAGAGGCCAGAGAAGAGAGCAGAAGGCTTGGCTCCAACATGGGGACTGCAGGGAGGGTCTGGGTCCCGCTGCTCCGAGCCGGCCGGCTCTGCATGGGTGACCCAGGTGGGGAGGCCCCGCCACAGCTGGGGAGTTTCAGAGGCTCTGCTCCAGCCTCCGGGCGGCCCTGGTTGGTGAGAGTTGCCCGCCCCCCTTGGCAGGGTGGCTGATGGGATGGGTGGAGGCCGGAGCAGCCCCGAATGTCCCCTGCAGGTTTCCAGGACGTGCACGTCATGGTCTTCGTGGGCTTCGGCTTCCTCATGGCCTTCCTGCAGCGATATGGCTTCAGCAGCCTGGGCTTCACCTTCCTCCTGGCCGCCTTTGCCCTGCAGTGGTCCACGCTCGTCCAGGGCTTCTTGCACTCCATGCACCAGGGCCACATCCACGTCGGCGTGGAGAGGTGGGCGGCGGTGGCCTCCCCGGCTCCTCCCCGGCCCTGGGCTGGCTGGGAGGCCCCTGCCCGGCGGGGGGAGCCAGCCCCAGCCCCGTCCGGCGGCTCCCTGACCCGCAGGGCATGTGTTCCAGGCGCTGCCCGTTCCCGCGGCCACCCACACACTCAGCCGCACCTACCCGTTTCTTTAAGCCCCTTCTTACCCAAGAGCTGTTGGGCGGATGGAGCTTCCTGGAGAAGGATGGGGTTCAGAGGCGCTGGTGGTTCAGGAGCTCGTTCTTCCGCCCCTTGTGGGCTTCGCTCTCCATGTCACAGAACCTCCCTGAAAATGCTTTCCTCATCCCCGAGCAAGGCAATATGAGCCCTCCCCGCCTACCAGGGAAGAGCCCGGACGCCTAGGCTCCCTGCCTCCTGCCCTGACCCAGCCCCGCAGAGTCACCCTCGCCCGCCCCTCTTACCCTTCCATCCCGCCTCCCCAGCATGATCAACGCAGACTTCTGTGCTGGGGCTGTGCTCATCTCCTTTGGTGCCGTCCTGGGCAAGACTGGGCCGGCTCAGCTGCTGCTCATGGCCCTGCTGGAGACCGTGCTGTTTGGCATCAATGAGTTTGTGCTCCTCAGTCTCCTGGGGGTGAGTTGGGTGGGGCTGGGGTGAGGGTGGGGACGGTCGGGGCCAGGCCCCGAGCAGGGAGAGCATGGGGCCAGGGGGTGGCAGAGGGCTGCCACTCCACCTCCGCTCCGTCTCCCCAGGTGAAGGACGCAGGAGGTTCTATGACTATCCACACGTTCGGGGCCTACTTCGGGCTGGTCCTCTCGCGGGTCCTCTACCGGCCCCAGCTGGAGAAAAGCAAGCATCTCCAGGGCTCCGTCTACCATTCCGACCTCTTTGCCATGATTGGTGAGGCCTGCCTGGGTGGGGTAGGGGTGGGGGGCAGAGAGGACCCCCTCCAGGCGAGGTCTCGGGGTGCCAGCTGTAGTCCTTGGGGTCCCAAGAGCCCCACATCTGTGCTCATCATTGCCAGCAGTTTTTTTTTTTTTAAAGATTTTACTTATATATTTGACAGAGAGGGACACAGCGAGAGAGGGAACACAAGCAGGGGGAGTGGGAGAGGGAGAAGCAGGCTCCCCGCAGAGCAAGGAGCCCGATGCGGGGCTCGATCCCAGGACCCTGGGATCATGACCTGAGCCGAAGGCAGACGCTTAACGACTGAGCCACCCAGGCTCCCCGGCCAGCAGTTTTTTTGACAGGTTCTTGGAACTCAGCCCTGGAGTATGCACATGCCCCACACCCGTTCCGGGGGGGGCCTTTCTGAACCAAGTCTGACTGCACCAATCCTTGCTTAAAACCCTTCAGCCCCCACCCCAAGTCAGAAGCCAGACTCAGCAGCCCCTGCCATTCTCCCCATCTCCTACCTCCAGGACTCTGCCCCTCTCGCTGCCCCCCAGGCGATTTCCCAGAGGCCCCCACAGGTCACTCCTGGGAGCAGTTGGGTCTGACCACCCCCACCAACTCCCTCCTCCAAGCATGTGCCCCTACCTGGGCCTCTGCCCCCCTCTCTGCCTTCACAAACGAGGCAGGAAAGGATATTTAGATTTTATTTTTTCATAAGTGGTCCTGAATAACGACCAAAGTGCCCATTCCCACACTAAAAAGAGAGGCTGGTTTTGTATTTCTTGCTCACCTCCAGGTTTTTGGTGAAATGAGGTGGATGTTTTGGCTAGAAGTCCGGGGGCTCCCCAAAGAAGGCATGCTTCCCCAGGAGGCTTACACCCCAGCTCTCCTCTGCCCCTCCTTCCAGGCAGGAAGCCCTGCCTCTTCCTCGCTCCTCCTGCTCGCCCCTCAGAGGACACATGTGTGAGTGTGCTGGATTCCACCGCAGACCGTGGGGCTGCAGGGAGAAGTGACCTTGCACACCCGAGACCACTCAGGACAGAGGGGCAGTCTCTCAAGCCTCCCGACCCTATGGGGTCCCCAGCCTTCCCCTCCCCTTGTCCCTTGGCTCCGCCCCGCCCTCCGGGACCGGCCTGGGAACCCCACACGGGTAGGCAGGACATATGGACCTCGGGTTCTTCCCCCAGCATGCACAGGCCTGTCTATCTGGTGCCCCACAGACAGAGGCCCCCTCCTGCACCTTGCAGGGCCCACCTCCCCAGGAGGTGGGTGAGGCTTTAAAGCACGTTATTTCCCTGATATGAATGTCAAGTTCCCAGTTTGGTGCCTGACATGTCGCGCCCTTGGCCTGTTTTTCTTTCCCGTTCTGATGCTTAACAAGAAAATGTCAGCCGTCTGTGGTCCTCGGGGGAGTGGCTCTTGTCTCAGTACCCGTGATTGAGGACTTCGTGGCTGCTAGGCCATGGGCTGAACACTTCCTACACGTCACCTCTGTGGCCCCGGCTCTGGGGGATGTTAGCCCCACGTCACGAGTGAGGACACCGAGCATGCTCAGGGCCAACCTGCTGCCTCTCACTCTGCCGGCCTGCCCCTCATTTAGGCACCATCTTCCTGTGGATCTTCTGGCCCAGCTTCAACTCTGCGCCCACCACGCTGGGGGACGGGCAGCACCGAACAGCCCTCAACACATACTACTCCCTGACGGCGAGCACCCTCGGCACTTTTGCCTTGTCGGCCCTGGTTGGGGAGCACGGACGGCTGGACATGGTAGGGGTGGAGGCCGAGGAAAGGCCAAGAGATGGGTCGGGGGAGGAGCGATCTGAGACCCAGGAGGCCCATTTTCCAGGGGAACAGGACAGGGCACAGGCCCGGGGCCCAGATGTGCGGGGTCCTCCCAGGAGGAGACCACGGGACAGCAGGAGAGTTAGAGATCAAATAGCAGAGGGACTTCCAGAAGCAGATGCCGCTGTGGTGGACGGCATGGGGCCAGACTGGGTGTGCGATCTGGAAGGGCCTCCCACGCCCCCCTCCCCTGTGTTCCCCCAGGTCCACATCCAGAACGCCGCACTGGCCGGAGGGGTTGTGGTGGGGACAGCAGGGGAGATGATGCTGACACCCTTTGGGGCCCTGGCAGCTGGCTTCCTGGCTGGGACAGTCTCCACACTGGGGTACAAGTTCTTCACGGTATAGTCACCTCCCCGGCCCTGGGCAGAGCAGGGGGTCCTCAGCGCCTCTCCTCCCACCTCTCTACCAGCTGGGGGGGAAGGCGGGGGGGCACTCATGACCGTGTCCTGTCCTCCAGCCCATCCTTGAGGCGAAATTCAAAGTCCAAGACACATGTGGTGTCCACAACCTCCATGGGATGCCTGGGGTCCTGGGAGCCCTCCTGGGGGTCCTCGTGGCTGGGCTGGCCACCCATGAAGCTTATGGAGAAGGGTGAGTCCTCCCCATCCCTGACCCTCCCCGAGGTCGTTATCCCCCCCGGGGTGACCTCACTCACTCTCTTCCTCCTTTTGTGGACCAACACAAAAAGCAGTGTCTATTTTCATTCGTTCATCATGAATAAGGACAGGAAGAGATAATGACCCTTAGGATCAGTTTGCACATCGGGGGTCAGAGGAGATGGCAGGCAAAAGAGATCCTCAGACTGAGTCTTGAAAAGCGTTTGGGTGTGTGCGGGCCCATGAGGGTGAAAGGGTGTTCTGGGCTCCCGTGAGTCCTTTGGCCGCTGCACGAGGAGCGCAGTGCGCTGGTGCGCTGACCCGGTTCTCCAGCCCCGGGTCCCCAGCACCCCCTCTCCCTGCAGCCTAGACAGCGTGTTTCCGCTCGTCGCCGCGGGCCAGCGCACCACCGCGTCCCAGGCCATGCACCAACTCTTCGGGCTGTTTGTCACACTGACGTTTGCTTCTGTGGGGGGGGGCCTCGGAGGTGAGTGACCTTGGCTGGCGGTGGGGGGCTGGCAGGAGCTCGGGGGGGGGGGCGCAGAAGACAGAGGAGGGTGTGGGGGGGGGAGGGAAGGGCCACCGGATCCCACCTCCCTGACGTTCGTTTGCTCACATAATCATTGAGCACCTGCCTTGTGCCAAGTGTGGGCTGGGGTGGTAGAGTCAGGGGTAACCTCGTCCGGAAGTGGGCACCTGTTCCCTCTGGTGCCCAGAGGAGGTGGGGGGCGCGCTAGGGGCCGAGCTGGGTCCCTCTCGGGATCTTGGCTTCCCTGTACTGCCCGCTCCACCCACCAGAGGGCAGCCCGACCTCAGGCTGAGGCTCTGAAGGGGCGGCTGAGCTCTGGTTCCGGGTAGGTGCGTGGCAGGGGGGGTGGGGGGGGTGGGAACACAGATCCATCCACCCACGCAGACTGCCCAGTGATGCCCGGTCAGACAGTCCTTCCCGGTGTCTGGCCTCGCTCCTCGTGGCCTTCAAAATAAAACCTGTGATTCAGTGTCCCCACCCCTCCCTGCTCTCCCCCCCAGATTCTCATTCCCCAACAAGATTGGATTCGTTCCCTCATGTCATTCCTTATTCACTCGGTCAACACTGCCTGTCCCCCTCCTGGGGAGGAGGCCACAGAAAGCTCAGAAACTGTGTTGGCGGCAGCATCACAAGCGGGCCCTTGACCGGCGAGGCGCTGGACTTCCCCGGCCTCCCCGGCCTCCCCGGCCTCCCCGGCCTCGCTTCCTTCACGGTGACCTGGGGGTCAGGTCCAGCTTGCGGGGCTGCGGTGGGTGCTCAGGAAGGGCCTTGCTGAGCCCTTGGCACAGGGCCCGTGCACAGTAGGTGCTCCCCAAATCCAGCTGTGATTTGTCTGTGGCAGGTGTCCTGTGGAGACCGCATGCCTCCCAGCCCCTCCCCCCCTCCCCTCCCCCCAACAGGGCTCCTGCTGAGGCTGCCCTTCCTGGGCTCCCCTCCGGATCCCCAGTGCTATGAGGACCAGGTTTACTGGGAGGTGAGCATGCCTGCAGCCCCTCAGACCCGAGCCCTCCCTCCTGGCCTCCCCTCCTAGGATCCCACCTGCCTCTTTCCTTCCGGCTCGCTCAGTCTCCTCTGGGGGGCCCCCTCCCCCCAGCTGTGGTCTTCAGCCCCCCGGGAGCTGCCCCTTCACCTGCTCCCCCACCCCTGCCCTCCAGGTGCCCGGGGAGCATGAGGATGAAGCCCAGGGCCCCCTGAGGGCGGAGGAGCCAGACACCCGGGCCTAACTTGCTTCCAGCCCTCGAGAGAGGACGCTCTCCTAGAAGAGGGTGCCGGCTACCATAGGGAAGTTCCTTTCTAGCTGCCGTCCCTCCTGCTGCAAAAAAGGCTGAGCGTCTGCGGCTCTGGGGGCAGGGCGGTGGAAGGTGGGGAGATGGGGGGCCGCACCTGGCAGAGGTCGGGGGAGAACTCACAGCGCCCCCCCCACCACCACCACCCCTCGGGGACTGTTTAGCGAGGCATCTGACGTGGCAGTCACAGCGAAGCGTGCGCCAGGCCCTGCAGTCGGGGTGATAAATACCACCCGCACCAAGGACTCCGACTCCTTTTTGTGCACTGGGAATGTGGGGAGTTCCTCTCTGGCTCTAACGCACAACGTTGGAAACCCGGGTGGGCTCGGGGGCGGGGGGGACCTCGGTGCCAACAAGCTCCCGCCTCACTGGGCACATGGTGCTCCCTCGAGAATGCCAAGTTCCACCAGGTGGGTGCCCAGTCTGGGCTTGCTTGCCTCCAGGGACAGGGAGCTCATCCTCTCCCAGAAAGTCTGTCCTGGGACAGCCGCACGGCTGGCGAGGTCCTCCTGCCCCAGAACGGCAGCCGCTCCCACTCCTGACTTGGGCGGGAGCCTGCAGGGGCTGAGAAGGGGAACAGGGGTTGTTTGCCACTGAGTCCCTGGAAGTAGCCGGCCTCCAGGCATGCCTTCTGCCCCTGTGAGTGTGAGGCAAGGGCACTGGGAAGCGCCAGGAGCCTGGCTGCCGGAGGGAAGGCAGCCCCGGCCGCCTGACATCTTCTGGCCACCAGAGCGCGCTCCAGCCCCGGCGCAGGGCCCTTGGCCCCGACCCTCCGCCCTCTCCCCAATCCGGCGTCCTTCCCCCTGCTTCCGCTCTCCGGCCCAGCATTCGTGCCCTGGGCCTGGTTGAGTTCCCAGCCCGCCCCCCCCTCCCCCCGATGGCAGGCGGGTTCTAGGGCTTCAGATCTTGTGCAGCACAGAAGCAACCCCCCACCTGACCTGCATCCCTCCAGGCTTCTGGCGGGAGCTGGGCCCACCACAGACCTCTCCCTCAAGACCAACAGCCATTCAGACCTAGGGACCCGAGGGGTTGAGGTTCCTGGGGCCTGGCCCTGGGTCAAGGGCAGAGGGCACCCCCAGTGAGGAAGCTTGGGGGACTGAGTTTGGCTGGGGAAGGAGGCCAAGCACAGAGCTGAGGGGAAGGGGAGAAACAGGGAGCACCCCGAGGGACAGGCGCTGCAGGGGACCCATCCCTGCCCACGAGGCCCATCAGCTTCCTCCTTCCTCCTCAGAGCCCCCCATGGCTGGCCGGGGTGGGTGTGTCGTGGGGAGGCCCCTGAGCTGGGGCAGAAGGGTGACTGCCCAGATGGCAGTAGGGTCTCCTGTCCTGTCAGCCCCTGTGGGGAGGGAGGGGGCTTGGGGGAGAGCCAAGGCCACATACCCCCCTCTGCCCCCTTGGGGCCTCAGCAGCTAAAATGGCGCCCCCCCCCCCCCGCCCCGGCCCCAGCAGTCCTCAAAGGGACCTGAAAACCTGTCAGGAAAGGGAGGCTCAGCGAAAGGACGAGCCCCTTGTGCCCTGGTTCAGTCTGGGCAGAATTTCTGCACGCTGCTGCCACATCTCCAGGCTTGAAAACATGGCCTGCTCTATCCCAGCCACTGCCCCCGCTCGGTGGAGGAGGGCTTCCTGGAGGAAGGGACAACTGAGCCCTCTCTGGAGGAAGGCAGCTAGCCAGCCAGCTTCCAAGGGAGAAACTGTGGGGTGGCCCACCCAGAGGTCCGTGAGAAAGGAGGGGCAGGGCAGGGACCACCCCACAACAGCACCCTGGGACAGAGGGTTCTGAGCTCCGTCACCCCCACAGAGCCGCCCGTGGTCTGGAGACAGTGCTGAGCTTGGCTCAGGGGACTCAGTCCGGGGCTGAGCTTTCCCGAGCCAGAGGCCTGGTTTGTCATTGCTTCTCCTCCTCTCCCTCCGGTACTGGGTCCTGAGTGCCAGCAAGCTGCTGGGCACCCTACAGACTGCCATGAAGCCAGCCATCACCTGTGGTTTGGGGATGGAGGCAGGAGGGGGATGGGAGATGGGAGTGATGGGGAACAGGGATGATGGTACCATCACAGAGGGCAGGAAATACAGGTGTCTCTGGAGCTCCTCCTCCGTCTTCCCTACAGCCCTGCTCAGCACCTCTGGTCCTCAGCACGGTGGCCCAACCATTCAGGCTGGGTCAACAGGGTGACAACGAGCAGGTCAAGGAGATGGCAGGGACAGGGGCCAAGGGGGCTCTTTCCTCACCCCTTCAGGACAATGAGGCCTCTGCCCCTCAGGAACAGCCCCTCTGATCACCACAATTATTACTCTCAATGCAGGACAATCAGATGCTTGTCCACTCATGAACTCTGTCCAGCCCCAGCGCCTGAGCTCTGGGGACAATGATGGACGAGGACACTGGGCCCTCGCTCTCCTCCAGGGCCCCACCGATGGGGGAGACTGGTGGCACTGAGGTCAGCGTGGAAGCCCGCAGGGAGCTGAGGGAAAGGTTTCTGGAAGTGGCCACTGTTCTGTGTCAGCCGCAAGGGGGTATCTGCTAGGTTCCCGGGTGCCTCCGGGCCTCCGACCTCCGGAGGACCTGGCCTGAACCGCACCGCCTGGGAAAGGCCTGAGCTGCGCCGTTGGGATTCACATCACGGCGCGCGGCTCCGGCTCGGGGAGGAATTAGACACGGCCTGGGTGTCCAGAGTGGGGGTCGGTGGCTGCACCGGGGCAGACGGGCTCGGCAGGCGCCCCGCCTCACCCCGATATTTCTCTCCCACCGCCAGGACCCCTACCCGCCGCCTCCCGGCTCTGCGCCCCGGCCCCTTTGTCTGGCCCCGCCGCCCGCCCCGCGCGCCCCGGCCCGTGCTCGCTGCCGCCAGCGCCTGCGGGAACAATGCGGGCCAATGTCTCCGGCGGGCGAGCGGCTATGCAAATGCTAGTGGCCGTGAGAATTCCCCTTGGCCGCCGGCTTCCGCCGCCTGAAAGGGGCCGCAGCCACTGCACGCGGAGCCGCCGTCCCCAGCGCCCTGGGACAGAGCACCATTGTCTCCAACGTCTGATCGCCAGCCCCGGCCCAAGGCAGGGGTGCCCCAAACCTGTCCCCTCCATATCTACCCTTGCCCCAGAGAGGCTTGACTCGGGGGTCAGACCGAGGCGGGGCCCCAGCTTCCCTCCCCTGCTCACTAGCCTGGCCTGCAGGGGCGCCTTCCCTTGGGGGGCACGCCTGGCCCCATGGCTGGTGTTCTTCCCACTCTCCCGACCTGCCCACCGAGCCGCTCTCCCCTATCTCCATCCATTTTCTCACGTCACAGTGACCCAGTGGACTTATACAGGTGTTTCTGGAGCCGATTCCTGTCCAGAGCCCCGAGGGAAATGCTCATGGTTTCCCCAAAGCAGGTTACTGGACAGGGACACCCCCAGGGGTCCTCTCTGACCCCTGAGCCCCAGGCCTAGTGCAGGCCTCCCTCTGCTGTCGCCACAGTTAGGGGCCCTGTCTGGCCTGGGAGAAAGGCGCACCATGGCAGGACTGAAAGAAACTTGTCCGATGACGGAGATGCAGTTGTCTCCCACAAGTGAAAGAGGTGCACCCCTCTACCCCCAGCCCAGGGGCCTGCATCCCACTAACACACGGAACTGGTCAAACCCTGGATTGAAATGCTCAGACAGTGGGGGCGCCTGGCTGGCTCAGACTCTTGATCATGGGGTCCTGAGTTTGAACCCCACGTGGGGTATAGAGTTTACTTAAAAAAATACTCAGACGGTGGGCGAGGGAGCTCTGGGAGCAAAGTCCGTCCCAGTGAGGAGCCTGGAGCCCTGCTCTTGGGACGTGCTGCTGAGCTCCGGTACGCGGGCTTGAGGCCGGACGAGGTGCAGGGCCCGAGTCCATCTTTCCTGAACCTCAACACAGGTTCATGATTGAGAGCGAATGCCACTCGGGTGAGAAGCTCTTTTAGAGCTGGTGCTGGGCCCTTGAAACAGTGATTCGTCTGGGTCTCCTCAGGCTCTCAGGGCAGAATCGGTCAGGCCAACACCAAGAGAGCTGTCCCAGGAAACCCAGGCCTCCTCTGGTCCCAGGAAGGCAGGAGAGGGCTGGATGGGGGAGGAGGGAGAAGACACTGGCGGAGGGTCCTACCACCCCCTCCTAGGCTTGTTCCTCTCTGGGCTGGCCCAGCCTTCCGTCTCCAGTGCAGCTCTTCCCTTCTGTGCCCCTGGCCTCCCTGGGGATGCAGGTGCAATGTGCACAGTAACCTCATCCTGGGGGTGTAGGGGGCACCGTGGCCTCCTCGGCTGGCATTTGGGATGCTATTAGATAAGAGGAGAGTCAGGGTCAGGGGACCAGGGCTGGGAGCTGAGGGCTTTCACGGGGCCAGGGAAGCAGCCAGACTTCTGCCCGCCCCCAGGCCCCCACCTTTGGAAGTGGGCCCTCCTGCAGCTCCTTACCCAGCTGCTCTTTTGTCCGGGTCTCTGGTCCGACCCAGAATCCCTCCAGAGCATTCTGACCTGGGCTGCCCAGCCTCATGGAAACTCCTCTCGCCACCTCGGGAAGAAGGCAAACCCATGTCCTCACACATCTCCACACGTGGCCGGAGCCCCCACCGGCCCGAACCCCAGAGCACACCTTCCCTCCCATGAGGGTATTTGTGGATGGCGCCCTTGCTTTGGGCAGAGCTCCCCGCCCCAAAGGGGCCCCTGCCCCTCAGCTCAGACTTCCGGGGCTCCCCAGGCCTGCTCGGCTGGTCTCTGGGGCCCTGAGCAGGCCCCGCTTGGCTCGGAGGCTGAGAGAGGAAGCGGCTTTGTTGGGCCTGGGCATCGCCTGGGTTCTTAAACTCGCTTTTCCCACCCTGCTCTTCTTGGCAGGAGAGCCGTCAGCTGGAGGGGCTGCCCACCCCCAGCGTCCCCTCCTTCCCTGCTCACACCATCCACCTCCTCCGTCTCCCCAGAGCGAGGAATGTGGCTCCAGGACACTGTGGGGCTTGTTCCCAATCCCCTTCTAGCTCATTTCACTTGGGCTTTTATAGACTCGCCTTCATCCCACGGGCTGTCGTCTGGTTCTGGCTCTGAAGGCACAGAGGTCTCCCCCCTCCCCGCAATTCCTCACGCTTCATTTTGTCCCAACACCATCTGAGGAGGCTGCCCCACGGGGGGTCAAGGAACCCTGGAGTGGGAGCTGGCGGGGGGCAGGGTCCCCATTCTCCCCGGCTCGGCAGCCGCTCTGGCGGGCTTCTGCCGAGCGGGACCCAGCGCCTATCACGGTGCCTGCCAGCCATCCGGC